GATTCTGCCTGCTGGCTTTGCTGCAGGCTGACTGCCCAGAAACTGAGCTGCAGAGACAAATGGGCTATTCCAAGCACAATGCTTCAGGAAGCAAGTACTATTGGACACAAGTGTCTCAATGACTCCTATGAAGTAAATGCATCTCTGTGTTAGGGGAAAAGCCCAGATTTCAGTGTTAAGGGCTATTGTAAACAAGCCTTGAGACAGTGCTATCTAGTTACTGGGGTTTCCAGCTACATAGTTCTTGATTATAGCTTTTGAGGCCCCTTGCACGGCTTTACAGAATTGTAGCTGTGTTTGGCAGTTATTAAGTGAGACTAAATAGTCAACTCTGTCTCCCAATCCCAGGGTCAGACTTTGTATCATAGATCATTTTGTGTCATTCAAGAAAAGAATTAGTACCTTTTGGTGGAGCTCTGGTGAACTTAAAATTCAAACACAGAGGCCTGGTTAAGGGCTCTTGGATGAAGGAGCAAGTTGAAGCTGAAATGGTATCCACTTGTCCTTTAGCAGACCATGTGAATGCAGGCCATAAGAATATTTCCTTTACAAGAGTGAACATCTTGTGCACTAGTGGTGATCAGGCTAATAACGAAGGTGTACCCATACCTCTAATGGGATAATTGAATGGAAACCTCCAGAGAAGTTCTTAAATGTCACCTTTAGAATGATGGCTTTAGCCTAATAGTTCGGTCCACCCTGAGGAACGCAAGAGGGCAAGCCAAGTAGTGGTAGTAAACAATTTCTTCCCTACCATCCATCAAAGTGCCAGTGCTCACTCTACAACGGTGCAGTGTGTGTCATGCCTAGTGCTAGGTGAAATGAAGCCTAGGGCCACTGCTTTTCAGAGCATTGAGTCAACCCAGTTCTCTTTCTTTGTGCTCCCTCCTCTTCTTTCTCCTCTCTTTGCCTCCACCTCACTGGTCCAGCCCCTCTTCTCAAGAAACTTAGAATTATTAATACTTCTCACTACACTTTCTCAGAGATGACAGTAAGAAAAGGGGAAGAAGCAAAATACCTAATTCATCAACAATGCAGGTTGATCCAAATGCTTCAACAGGCTCAGTCGATCCAAATGCTGCTGTCACAAGAGACAGATCTGGCTATGTCCTAGCATCTGCATTTCTATAGGCGCTGCTAATGTGTCTAAAATTTACCTCTTTTTGTAAACTCAAAAACTTCGTGTGTGCTCAACTTGTGTTCACCTGGAACAGGCCAGATGCACCGTCAGATACACTCAAGATAAGTACTGTCAATCAACAGTCTAAGTTTCCCAACCTACTGCCTATTTCTGATCTTGGAACTCCCCTCCCTCATTTACCAGAACCTAAGAAAAAAATTTCCTCGTAAAGTTAACTTTATCTTCTGCTATACCAGCATCTTGCCAGGTCCAGGCATCCCCTTAATCTGCATCTGAGACAATTTCAAAGTGGCAAGCTCCAAGTGGCCCAACCTCACAGATTGCTTCAACTGGACCTGCATATTCCTAGTACTAGACACAGTCTCACAGTGCCTGGACAGTGATTGAAAACAGCCAGCTATCCCAGGACTTGACCAGCATCCCAGCTTTCTCCTGTACCCCAAAGGATGCCAACACCCCCAGGACATCAGGAATCATTCTTGAGAAAGAACGCAACACACTCATTCTTACCTTACCTGTTAACCTTTCCTATTTCCTCACCTTTTTATAATAAACAAAAGGGAGGAATGTTAGCATTCAGGCATTTACACTAGCCTGCTCTCAGGGACCTAATAGGACATGTCATCAACTGCAGCCACTAAGAACACTCCCTGTGGACATGCACTTATTAGACTTTAAGCATTTACACTGGCCTGCTCTCGGGGACCTAACAGGACATGTCAGTTGCAGCCACTCCCTGTATGCATATACTATATCCTCTCATAAAAGGCAAGCCCTTCTTACTCCTCCTCCTCTTTCCTTCCTCTCTGCCTCAGAGGCCAACTCTGCACCTCTCTCAATAAGCCTCCCATGTGTGGTGCCCCTTGGCTTTAACCCACCAAGGTCACCTTCCTTCTATCACTAAACTAGCTACCACATGCCCAGGCTTCATCTCAAAAGTCATTGTCTCATACCTAGACAGCCCACCTAGAAGTACTTCTATCCCTGTAATATAAACCTGTAGAAAGAGCCTGCCTTCTGCTGTCTCCATCAATGCTTCGCAGTCTGTGTGTACACACTATGGAACCTGTGGCCTGTATCTTACGTGACATAACTTGGAAAGAATAATAAAGGAAATGTAACAATTGAACCATTTTCAAATTCTGAACACCTTAGGTTTTAAGATACAGTTATTTAGAAGAAACTTTCCTAAAGCCTGATCTGGGGAATTCATAATCACTGGAGTGATTAAAATAAGTGTTGGGACCTTTTCCAGAAGTAGAGCCCTTAAAAAATTGATGGATATAGACGGCTTGGAGAAAACCAGTGAAGTACCTGGAGTTCTGGGCAAGCAAAGTAGATTGGACAGAAAAATAACCACTGCCTTAGTTAAGATTTCTGTTGCTATGATAAAACACCATGACCAAAGGGAAGACGGGGTTTATTCAACTCTCAGGTCACAGTCCATCATTGAAGGAAGTCGGTACAGGAATTCAAACAGAGCAGGGACCTGGAGGCAGGAGGCCATGGAGGAATGTTGCCTACTGACTTGATTCTCATGACTTTCTCAGCCTGCTTTCTTATAGACCCAAGTGTAAGCATTGCAGCTCAGACGGAAGCAATCCTGGCAGGCAGGAGCCCAGGAATACCACAGAGTCACCATAAGCTTAGCAGCTTGTAGCCCTGCTTGCAGGGAAAGGTTTCCCCAATGCAACAGCTCTGTCCCAGCAGAGGAGGGTTTCCCCAGGGAAGTTGTCCTCCTTCTGCCCCCCTCCCCAGCAGTCTAACAACTCTGCTTCTCTAGGGGGAGGTTTCCCCTTCGAAACTTCGAAAGTATTACAGCCCTGTTCTACTATGCCCAGGCTTCATCACTGATCTGGCAAAATCACTCAAACCTCATTCAAGAGATTTATTGGAAGGGAAGAATCCAGGATGGTGGTTGCCTCTTCCAGGTGGGAAGAAGACAGTAGCAAGCTAAATGGGCTCAGGACTTATACAGGGCTTTTTATGGGTAGACCTTTTCCAGAGTGGAGATTTTTCAGGGTGGGGATTGGTCAGATTGCAATCCCCTTGAGCTGGGACAAGCTCAGATTGGCTAGATTTCATGCTCAGAGATTGGTTGGTTTTCCTGCTCAGAGATTGGTTGGTTTTATTCTCAGTTGGTCAGGGAAAAGTGTGTTTCTTTCGCTGGCCCTTTTAAGCCTTTTGGATCTAATTTCAAGACCACAGCATATTTCTTTCACTGGCTCTGATTCCAGGGCCAAAGTGTGTTTCTTTGGCTCTGGTTTCAAGGTCAAGGTGAATTTCTTTGGATCTGCTCATGGTGTGTATCTTTGATTGGCCCCCTTTTCCTATACCCAGAACCACTAGCCCAGGGAGGGTACCACCCACAGTGAACTGGGTCCTCCCACATCAATCAAGAAAATGCACCACAGGCTGATCTAGTGGGAGTATTTTCTCAATTGAGGTTCCCTATTTAAAAATGACTCAAGTTTGTGTCAAGTTGACAAAACTAGCCAGCACATTTGGCCCCTTGTCAACTTGACATACAAACCATTACGGTTTAACTACAAATTTCCCTTTCTTGATCACCCTTAATAATCTCATAGCAATATTACTATCACAAAGTAAAACACTCCAACTTTTAAAAGTACCACAGTGTTTACAAATTAAAACAGGTTGAAAGTTCAGTCTCATAAAACATCTCAAGTCTCTTTGAAAAGTTTGCTTCTCTAAAATAGCCGGAAGTACCTAAAATATCCATGGCCTCTAAACGCCCAAAATCCCTTTTATTGTGGACTCTGGCAAAACTCAAAATAAAAGTTCGTTTTTATTCCAAGGAAACACTGAATGAAATGAAGACATGACGACATGACTGCCCCTGGAAATGGTTGAAGAGAAGGTTTTCATTCTAGATACAAGGAAGAATACATCCAGGCACATCTGGAAGAGTTCAGAGCAGAGAGAGACAGTAGTCAACTAAACATGGTCAGTAGACTGAACCAGGCCATAAGAGGAAAGGAAATGAGAGTGAGATAGGAAGAGAAGGGGGAATTAAGGGAGGGAGGAACCAAGAGAGGAGAGGGCAAAGAGGTCGAAGAGAGGAGCTGAGGAAACCAGGAAGAGTGCATGACCACAATGGCAGGGGTTATATAGGAATCAGAAGCTGGAGGAAGGGAAGCATTAGGGTAGGGGACAGGGTGAGAAGAACTGAGAGGAGCCACAGATATTGAGTGAGCCTATAGGCCAGCATATGCTTTGGTAAGCTAATAGGTACCACAGCCATTTGTCCCCAGTTTCTTTTGGACGCGACAGAAATAATCAGTGCCCAGTCATTGCTATGGGAGCCCACCAGAGATGACCACACATAGTTTACAGTCAATTGAACGTATATTCCAGCTGGCTTGGATGACACTCAGGACATAAGTGTTACCCTGAGTTTCCAGAGCATGGGGTTTTTGAAGGCAAAAACCATATCCTGCCATCTTGTTTGGCAGCTGCAAGGGACTTCCCAGAAGTCAACTGTTTAACAGAAAACAAACAATAAGCAGTTGTCTGGAGGGGGTTCCACACAAGCAAGCAGTTTAACATAAGATAAAATATGCAGTTAGCTGGAGACAGTGGTCTGTACAAGCAGACAGTTTAACAGAAGCTAAGTTAATTAGGACATCTTAACCTTGGGTTCCTAGAATAGAGTTGGGTAATTTTCCATGGACTTCCCCATCAAGGAGATCAAATAGTTAAATCTGCAATGCCTGCAGCAAGAACACAAAATGGAGTAACCTCTGCATTTTCTTGCCCTGTCACATCCTAATCAAAGCAAAACTAAAGCCCAACAGTGTAAAAAAAGCTCAGTGTCAGACACCCAAGATTCACTCACAGTCTTCTGGGCTCCAGAGGACTTGCCACAGTACACTCAGAGTGTCTCCTAGGCTCAGGCTGGCTCCATTCCACAGTTGCTACTGTCCTTGGCAGTCATCCCAGGATGCTGGCATCTCCAAAATGCTTGGGTCCCAGAAACTGGGTCTTGCCTTCACCACTAACCTTTCCTGGCCTCTTAAGGAACTCTGAACCTGCTACATGGTTCCAAGCCTTAGCCTCTCTCCATGACCCCTTCAATCCTGGGTTTTTCACTGTTACTGAGACTGTATCTTCCAAGCTCCAGCTGATCTTCATGACCCCTTCATGCCGTCACAAGAGTACCACCTGTGAAACTCTTACTCATTAAGAACTTTGGTTGCCACCATGAGATGTGGCCTAGGCCTAATCTTGACCACAGTTTCTATGTGCTGACCCTAAAGAAATACTGCCAGAAGATTTCAGCTCGGTGATGCTGGCCTCTTCCTAATGATGACTTCTAGCTTTTGAGCTTCAGCTAACCAGCATCAATTATCCCAGTAAAGGGAAGGTTTCACTTTAGTACATTTGGTCTCTTGTTAACTACAGCCAATTCTGAAGCTCTGTTTGACCTGGAACACAGATTCATAAAGCTCTAAATATCAGATGTCTCTGATAGTCTTGAAGGAACGCTTCAACTTTCCTCAGAAACTTCACAAACTCTGCCTCCATTGTCTGTAGTGCCCTCAGCATTGTCTTCTAAGTTCCTACAAAACAGTAGCTCATTAAGCTCTGAGCAGTCAGAGGCTTTTCTAGGCCAAAGTTCCAAATACTTCCAATCCTCTTAAAATACATGGTCAGGTCTGTCATGACAATACCCCAGGACCTGGTACCAATTTCTGTCTTAGTTACTCTTTCTTTCTTCCTTTCTTTCTCTCTTTATTTCTTTTCTTTCTTTTATTTTTATTTTTATTGTTTTTTTTGGATTTTAGTTTTCCGAGACAGGGTTTCTCTGTAGCTTTTGGAGCCTGTCCTAGAACTTGCTCTATAGACCAGGCTGGCCTTGAACTCACCGAGATCCACCTGCTTCTGCCTCCTGAGTGCTGGGATTACAAGCATGTGCTACCACTACCCAGCCTTAGTTATAGTTTCTATTGCCCAGGGAGGAAAGGGTTTATTTGAACTTACAGTTCCATTTCCCAGTCCACCACTGAGTGAAATCAGAACAAGAACCTGGAAGCAGGAGCTGATGCAGAGACCAGCAGCTTACTGGCTTGCTCCTCATGGCTTGCTCAGCCTGCTTTCTTACAGCACCCAGCACCACCAGCCTAGGGATGGCACCACCCACAGTGAGTTGAGCCCTCCCACACCAATCAAGAAAATGTTCCACAGCCTTGTCCACAGGCCAGTCTGGTAGGAGCATTTTCTCAATTGAGGTTCCCTCTTCCAAAATGACTCTGGCTTGTGCCAGGTTGACATACAAACTAGCCAGCACAACCATATTATCACCTTTTAACTAACTAAACTGGGCAGGTGCCCAGGGCATAAAATATGTGCCCAAGTGCCATCCCTAAAGCACATGACAAATGGAGCAGAGAATTCTAGCCTGAGAATAGTACCCTGCATACCCAGGTCTCTGGGTTGTGCTACTTTTACACACAAGCATTAATGAGGCTTGGTACCTTCAAAGGAGTAGAGAAAGTGCTAAAGACATTTCACATCTGAAAGAAAAGGTATGGGAGAAATTGCAGAGGTGGAGCACAAAGCCAGAGATTAGCGGCTGGATGTGCTCTCCTTCAGGTCTCTGCAGGTGCAAGGGGAGGCTCTGGAGTGGCCAAGGTGCCAGAGGAACACATTGCACAGGTTATTGGGAAAACGGTTCACTGTATCTCAGCTCAATTCGAAGGCCTCAGAAGTCTGCATCTGGCTGATAGAAACTTTGCAGTCTGCTCTCAGATGGAAACCATATCCTGTCAACACCGTTTAAACCTCTTGAACCACAGCCTCATTAGCAACCTTTTGTTTTTCCTTCCACACAGATGTCACTAGTCATCAGTAAATGCTGCATTCCTTCGCAGTGAACAGCAGCAACACCTCAGCCATCAACTTCCCAAGGCCGGTTCCTTCTGCAGACATGTAGACAAGCCCAGTCAATCATAGGCATTGGCGCTCTTTTTACTTCTGCCTTTCATTGGTGAAGCATCTAGAGGCACAACAATCAGGCAGAGTTTTTGTTCCCACACATGCCTTTTTATACAGGATGAAAAACAATGATTTGGTGCATATTACAAGGTAGGATGTGGCAGTGAGGTACACACATTCTAAGAAATGTAAAGGGAAGAAGCAGCCAGGTGGGAGCCTCAGAGAAACACATTGTTTCAACTCCCTAGGAGCACGTGAAGTCAAAATGAACAAATTCTTCCAAACTGGTGGGATCTTCCCTCCAGGGGTACCTGCTTTATTTAATAAAAGTAGTCTACTTACAGTCTCTTTCAGAGCTGAGTCATCCTGTTTATGGTCTCTGCTCAAAGTCACATTTCTGTAACCCCATCTGGACTGTACAAGTTGTCACTTCCTAGGTCTAAGCCTTGCTCTTGTACATCAATTCCCACGGCTGGACTTGTGGCAGAAGAGGCAGAGAGACCATCTTACTCACACAGCAGAGATTCATGACGTTTATTCAGTAAAGTGCTTTCAGATTCCTAAGGTTTAGGGCTGTCTTCACAAAGACATGTTTTCAGTGAACTGGCATTTTACTAATCATGTGTTTCTGGCATGGAGATGTCTCAGGTGATGTCATGTGGACTCAGTGATAGTGCAGGGGAGTTGCTTTCTCAGAATTCTCTGACTTATTCACACAAAACATCCGAGTTTTATGAGTGCCATTTTCTTCCAAACAGCAGCTTGTAAATAAGAATAGGCTCTGGGCATTCCTAGGAGGTATAAATCATTTCATGTGATGACTAAGGTCTCTGTAAGAACCTGTATGTATGTGTGTGTGTGTGAGTGTGTGTGTGTATGTTCACTAGCAGTCTCCTGAAGGAGTGCAGATATTGCATGAAAATCTGCTTAGATTACACTTTGTCCAATTACCCATCTTTTTTTTTCTTGGTTCATGTCCACTTTTGGTCCATTATCTTTAACAGAAAATTTCAGTTTTAATTATTCCAAAGTGAAGAGGCTGAGAAGTTGGCTCAATGGGCAAGAGCACTTATTGGACAAGGGTAAAGACCCGAATTTTAATCTCTAGCATGCATGTAAAATCCAGGCATGGTGACATGTTGGACCTTGGAGACAAGTGGATCTGGGAGTTTGCTGGCCAGGTAGCCTGGCCAAATCTATGAATACCAGGATTGGTGAGAAACCGTGTCTCAAATAAATAGGACAGAGAATGATTAAGCAGGACATCAAACATTCTCCTCTGGCCTCTACACACAGGTGGGAACATGCCTACATAACACACACACACACACACACACACATATGAGCACCATGCATACAAATATTTCAAAGTACACAAATGTCTTAGTTCTGTATCCTATTGCTATGATAAAATATCTGTCCCAGACAAAAGCAATTTAAGAGATCAAGAGTTTGTCTCACAATTTTCAGGTACAGTCCACCATTGTGGGGAAGTCAAGGTGGCAAGAACCCAAAGCAACTGGCCACATTATAGCCACAGTCAAGAGACGAGAGCAACGAGATAATGCGGTCTACTGGTGCTCCATTCCCTTTTCTTCTTACTCAGTACAAGAGCCCAGCCGAGGAACTGGTAGCTCCCACGTTCAGGGCTAAAGTTTAGACTCAATTATGTGTCTCTTGTCTATGTCTTGTGCCTTGCCCACCATACTGTCCTACTCTAATCACTTCCTATCACCAGAGCTTGGCATCCTATACAGGGCAAACAAAACATCAACACCTTCATCCCTGGAAAGTATCATATAGAATCGTATGATGTTATACTCAGGAAAATGATGGACAATCAGTGTATTTAGGGAAAAGGCAAGCTTTGTAATATCAAGAAAATGAGGTACTATGCTTTCTGGAAGAAAAAAACATATGTCAGGATTATTCTAGATTATTTACATAATCCTACAGACTGGAATTTCATTGAAGATAAGCAGAGACTATGCTTGATTCACTTAGTAAGGAAGATTGTTTAGTTAGGGAAGGGTCAAAGGGCCTTGGATGGCATAACTGAATGATCCTCTCTTTGCTACAAACCCTGTCTCTATAACCTTAAGACAGGACTCCCTCAGTGGAATGGATAGGAGGTGATTAGAGCCATGCAAGGCACCACGCAGACAGGAGGAGACACATGTTGAGTTTGGACTCTTGCCAATTTTCATGGTTTTTGTTAATGATTTTATTTTGCTTCTTGAAATGCCCCATATGCACAGTGATAACACACTAGTGTTGTGAAGCACAAGAGAAAAGTGTTTTCACCTTTACTCTGAAAATAATGTCTCAGGCATGAGTTACAATACTGCTACCCATAAATTTAATGAAAATAAACAACAGTGTATGCCAACCACCTACAAGTAAATCAATAATATGTTTTAAATACTCATTTGAATTGATGCATGTTAGTGTGAGTGTCTGCCACATGTGTGCAGCTGTCTGCAGAGGCTAGAAGAGTTTCAAATCCTCTGGAGTTGGAATTACAGGCAATTACGTGCTTGGATCTGAACTTGGGTCCTCAGGAAGAGCAACAAGTGCATTTAACTACTGAGTCATCTTTCCAGTGCCAATAAAACACCTTTTAAAGGGTATCTTTAAGCCAGGTGGTGGTGGTACACACCTTTAATCCCAGAACTCAGGAGGCAGAGGCAGCCTTGTCTACAAATCTACACAGAGAAACCCTGTCTTGAAAAAAAATACAAAAAAAGAAAATGTATCTTTATACAGAAAAAAAACATACAATAAAAAATCGCCTATTGACAGCTGATTAAAATGTTGTGACAAGCTCTTAATCACCATTAGGTAAATAGTTTAAAATTCATTATTCATGACACACAGGAACTCTTTGGAAAACAAAATGCCACAAAAACAAAATGCTACTACACAAGTACAGATATCTGTTATGTGGCCCATTCATGTGGATAAACCGTCATTGTCACTCTGATACTATATACCATAGGACAGAGAAGAGTAGTTCCCTATATTGGAAACCCACAATCAACTTACAGCCATTATGGGTGGTCCAGAAACCTCAGGGTGTATGGGGAAGAATACACAAGTTTCTAAATATCAACAATGG